TCATGAGCTGATGAGGAGCTGGCCCGCTCCCTCCCAGCGTGTTCCCACAGCCCCTCTGCGTTCGGAAAGGCCGTGCACAGCTACCAGCAGGTCAGGGAAAGGTGGGAGCAGAAGGGGCAGCGACAGGGCCCGCCGACCCCTTCACACCACAGATGGGAGCGCAGCACCAGCACCGACACATGGCCRAAAATCAAAATGTCACTTTGTTTACCCCATGGAGCAACTGGCCAGCCAACCCACTGCTTGTGCCAAGCCCCGGTTCCGCAGGAGCTGCCTCAGACTGCTTCACTGGCCGCCCTGCGCTCGGAAGCAAGGCGTGCAGCCTGCCAGGGAGGAAGCTGTTACCATACACCCCAGTTTGCCAAGGAGACAACTATGCACCTAACAGATGGGGGCAAAGATTAATTTGCAGTCCGTTTTCCCAAACGTGAAAGCGGGAGAAATGATCACAGCACTCAGCTAATGCAGGAGTCACTCTGTGTGGCTAACTTTGCTGGTCGTCCCAAGTTAGCATTTGCCTCTCTCTGAAGCACATTGCCTCTCTCTGAAGTAAAGCAAATGAGTGTTTTGTGTTTTTTGTTTTTTTTTTTTGCAAATGAGTGTTTTGTGTTTTTTGTTTTTTTTTTTTCCCAGCTTGTTTTCTATGTTGCAGAATTGTGGCTACTTGAATATATATTTTTTTCCTTTTTAACTTTAGTATTAAAGCCATTTTTTTGAAGCATCCTGGAGCGAGTGGCAGGTGYCAAAATACACGGTTCACATTGATATTCTAATGCTTCTCTTCTGCCCTGGGCAGAGAGTCACATCCTCCCTTGGACAGTTTCTGAAAGGAGGCAAGCCTAGAAAGAAAAAGGCAGGTACTTCTGCAATGAAATCTGGTTTATCAGATAAGAGGTCAAGGTCCCATGTTGCATGAACTCTTGAGTCAGAGGCTCGGAGGCRTCTCCTCAGCTCCCACAATCAAGGGAGCCCTTCAGGTCCTTTCTTATGAGGTCCAAAACATTTCCACTTGCGATCCCATTTCCAGGCACAAACTGCACCTCCGTAACCAGCTTCCCCTCAGYCCTCTGGCTGCAAACGCCAAGTCAGTGTGGCTGCAGGGGCACAGGGCATCCAGCACTATGCGCGTTTCCTTCACACRTGCATGCCCGGTCATGCACGGCTGCCTCACCAGCAATCCCCACCAAAGGGCTCTGCAGACAGGGCTCCCGGTTCTGAGCCGACCTCACGTGGCGTTTCATGCCCCTGCTTTGAATTTCGGTCTTTTCTTGTTATGCTGAATTATKATTTGGTGGCCAGTGACAAAGAAAGGCACACACCTGGGTACTGAAAACTAGGGTAAGCCCAGAAGTATTCCCCACTTAAAAAATGCTGGCTGTTATTAAAGAGAAAAATGCTATTAAAAGTACAAGGGACTGTTAATGATTGGCAAGAGTCCAAGCTGAACATGCTTGAGAACCCAAAAGATCCCTTGGAAAGTCACATTTGAAACTGGGGGCAAAAGAGAAGATTGTTATGTAAGGCAAAAGTGTAAATTCCTGATGTTCCCTTGCAGTCCATTTCAGGGAGAGTTGTAGCATGCCAAACAGGAGCATTGCCAACTTCATGAGGGTTAAAAAGTTTTAGTAGTGACTGCTGCTTTTTAATCTGCACTGTCTTCCAGGTTTTGGCCATAAGACCTCATGTAGTTTGTGGGAAATGCAGAAAGTCTAAACCAGTTTGTTGTCCTGGTRCTGTAATACTACCTTTCATTGCACTAAAGAATTAGGTCTTAAACTCTGGGCTCATCTGAAAAGCCACACTACTTTTCAGTCAAAGAGAGAATTACCCTTTTTTTCCGGATGAATATGAAGGAAAATTCTGAATCTAAGTGAGTACTAACCACAGTATCCAACACATGGCAGGGGCATATCAGTCAACTGCTCCAAGATGGTACTTTCCAGAAGGCATATCCTGGCATTTAGTCCACCGCAGCCTAATTTTCATTAAAAAGAAAGAAAGAAAAAAAAACCCTCAGAAAGGTGAAATATGGTAAGTCTTTAACTCTTTGCACGGCTGAAGACTGGAAGGTGTCCTTGCAAAGCTGGCATGATTGTGTCGCTGCCTGGGACAATGCTGCCTATATCACCTCAGGGTGGTCAGCACACCAGGTGGAGGGTGCTGTCCTGCCCACCCTGCAGGAGAGCTGTTTGGCATCAAAGCCTGACACTCAGACCTGAAAAACGTCACTCTCCTACCATGCCTGTTGCTCCTGCACACAGCTCATCACCCACTGTCTCTCAATGACTRGTCCTTACTACTTTTTCTGTACCATGTCTACACCATGTCACTTGACTCCTATGCACGTTTTGGTGCCCATTTTTAAAGAGCTGAACAAGATCAGGAATCAGGAAACCATGACATGATCCAAAGGTTTCAGTGCTATAGGCATTTTGTGCTAATGCAGAGGAGTTSTCCATTTTTTTATGGCTATTCTGGGAAAACTATGAATTTCTTTTTTGTTCCCTGTCTCTAAAGGTGCAGCAGAAGCCCTTTCTCACAGATAGCCATCAAAAGTCATGGCCTTTCCCTCTGATCAGCCCAAAACTTAAGAGAGGAAAACCCTGCTTTGCTTTTCAAGTGTTGCACTGACTTAGTAAATTCTGTACAGAGCAGAACGAGCCAGGGAAGCAGAAAAGCTCAGCAAGCATTAATGGCTGTGCCAAGACACAAGCAACGTCTTTTCCCACTTCCTTTTCTGTATTATCTGTACAGATTTTGTGTGTCTGATAATGACAATTTTCTGTATCAGATGCTTCTAAAACTCCACATTTACAGCACTATGCGGAGCAGCAGTTGGTATTTGAATGGGCACTGAGTATTAAACCACTGAAGCGGCTGGAGTAGATGCTTAAGCGCAGTCCTGCATGCTCAATTACCTTGAAATTCCCCTGGGCCCATCTCCAGCCTTGCACCCTTAATTGCCCCCAAATTCCCCAGGGACTCTGCTCTGGCCCAGTGCTATATCTTGATTGCCCTGAAATCCCCCAGGGCTGCAGCTCAAAAACTACCACCACTTTCTCTCATAGTCTTGGGGGGATTTTCTTTTCATGTAAGAGGCATCAGTACCTTGTTGGGTGAATCCAGGCTTTGGAGATATGGTGTGTGGCACATCATACAATCATCAGTTGTTAGAAAGGATCAGCCTTAGTGAATCTCAGCCCAAGTCATGCGTAATCCTGTATCTCACTCCTTCTTCCTGCTTCTTTTCCTTCCTTGTCCACTCACTAGAAACCATAAGGCATGCAACCACAAACATCATTAAGAATAAAATATAACACTTGTGGGAGGTGATGGTATCATCAAACGCCTAGAGACACAGCTTGAAACAAAACAAATTGCAACAACAAGAAAAGACAGGACAAAAACCATACCACAGCTAGGGATATGAGAGGAACCTTGTCCTGGTCCAGGGCTGAACCCCACCAAATTCTAGGCTTTATAGGGCACAATCGAGGACCAATGGCTGCCCAGACCCACCGAGGGATGGGGTGGAAGAGCAAACCACAGTGTGCAAGCAAAGTCTCTGGGGAAATGCTGGAGATGGATGGGGAAGGCCTGGCTAGTCTCAGCTCAAGCTGTAGTGGAGGGGTGTTCAAAAGGACTAAATAAAGAAAAGGTTTCTCCCCTTGGCACTCTCTGAGCAGGACCCAGAGCCTGAATGCTGCATTCCTCCGGGAGGAGACCATGCCAAGGTGGGATCAGACTAGAAGGAGCAAGAGGCTATGCATGAAGTAAAGAATTTCAATAGAAAATAGGGGAAATGGTGCATACACGTTTCATTTTGACGTTCTTTTTAAGCAAAATGTTTGATTTCCATTGAGTGAGTTCATTTCCAAATTGACTATTTTKCTGCTAAAGGTGCTAAGAAAGCAATAATCCTGAAAATGAAAGATAATATTTAGCTCCACAGCYCAGAAAACATTTTTGCACCAACCCAAAGGAAAGCTCTTCTTCTTGAGTTTTTGATAGTATAACTGGGCCAATATTAAAAAAAAATCCCCCCCCCCCTTTTTTTTTTTTTTTTGCTGTTGCAGCACAAGGCTGTGCTAGGCTGGCAGGGCTTCCTCCTCCCTGAGGTGGGACCTCATGCCTTTTGGGAGCTGGCTGGCCACCTTGGGGCAGGCGCTTAGGAGGGCGTTGGTGCCCTTGATGTGAGCAGGCACATGGTCACTCTTGAGGAGCCACCAGGGCTGGTGGCCTCAAGTCTCACGGCTGCCCACCTGTCCCACCAGCTGGAGCTGYCGACTGCTCTGTCCCTACTGAGATGTGGTCTGGGGTTGTGGCCAACATGTGGCACYCCAAGGTGCCGGGATGGTTTGTCCTCACGGTGCCAGCTGGCAAAAGCCGCCAGAGCTCTTGTGGACTTGGTGAAATAGATAAGACATGGATGAGTCATGAGCCCCGGGGTGGGCCGAATCCATGGGCTTACTCAGTGGGTGAGGCAACACCCGTCCCACTGCTGGGGACGGCTGGAGAGAGGAGGGAAGAAGCAGATGGGGAGCGCGCTTAGTTTGAACTTTTAACTGCAGACCTGAGGGGCAGGTAACTTCCCTGGGGCGGGCTTGGCCTCCTAGCCCAAGCTGTGTGTGGGCAGTGCAGTTTCTCAGCACAAAATATTGCTTCCCTGCCCCCCAAATCACGGGCTCCTGCTGTCGGTAGAAGGGAGRAGAAAATGGCCTGGCACTTCCTGGTGATGGGAAAGCGGCAGGGCTGGAGGCAGAGCCCTCCTGGGCAGTGGGCTCCCCCGTGCGCCCATCTACCGCCCCGAGCTCGCTCGGTGCCCGGTGAGGGCTCCCGCCGGCCYAGGCGCCCGGCGCACCCGTGACGCAGCCATTACACGTGTCGGAAGCGCCTGCGCAAGCAAGGACAGCGGGGAAGCCCTGGCACCGGGGCCCATCTTGCGGCGCCCTTCCCTTGGGAAGCGRCAGTGGGATCAGGACACGCCYGCTCCCCAGGGCACACAGAACCCGGGCATGGCTCCCCCGGGACACGGGGTCCCAGGTCAGCGATAGCCCTGGAGCCGGGCGCGCAGGGGCTGTGGGCAGCCGGCTGCCTCAGCCGCTCTGTGCAGGGGCTTGCGGGACCTCAGTTCTGGCTTCACTGCAGCTTTGCAACAAGCGAGTCTGAGGCTGAGCTTGCCCCGGYGCTGGCTTGACTGCTCTGTGACGTTCAGGCGGGACGAAAACAGCTTGCTTTCTTTTTCTGCTACGCTGTGTTCTGTAAAAGAGAGACAGAAAGCACTGCTTTATATTTCCCTTTCTCTCTCTCTTTCTTTCTCTCTTTCTTTTCCTTTCCTTCTTTCTTTCTTTCCCTTCTTTCCTTCTTTTTTTCTTCACTTTTCTCCCAGAAAGACCAAGCTGAGCCCCCTCCTGTTTCTGGATGTAATTCAGACACCAGCCAAGGAGTAACCCTTGCGATACCAGGCAGCGTCCCTGTGACTGCTCAGCCCTGCATGAGCTTCAGCAGCAAAGCACAGGCCCCCTTAAAGACACTTGATGCCTTCAGTAATGTTGGGAGGAGGTGTGYGCCTTCTTCTGGGAGAACCCAGCAGCTCTTAATCAAAATACTCCTTGTGTAAGTAATTAGTATGAACAAAAACAAAGTTCAACTGTAAGCAGCCTTCTCAGTTATGCGAATCACATGCTCAACCTCAAGCAGCTTATTAGTAATTGAATTTTTCACTGTATGTCTGTGGTTTTTCTTGCTGCATTTTTCCTAAGTCATATGGTGAAAGGAGACTTCCAGTCCCTTTAGCACTTATCGAGACATAGTCATAAAAAGTGACAAACTTTGAAGTGTATATTTTGGTTGGGGGGGGGTTGTTACTTAAAATATACACTCCTTTCAGTATTCAATTCTGCTTTTAAGAAKGGAAATTTCTGTAGCCCGGCTCTGAAGTCAGGGGCATGTGTGCCTGCAGTACTGCCTCTTCTGTGACCCAGGCATGATGGGCAGCCTGGTGTTGGATGGTTGCTCCTTCTGGAAGAGCGGGGCTGTGTTGTCTCCTGCTCTGGGCTCCGCTGGCCAAGTGCTGCTCTGCAGCATGTGCTCACAAGCTTCTGACGGTGCACTATGCCTCTGCCCGGAGGTCACAGGGAAACAGGTGCTGTGAAGGAATACAGTGAGGTGCAAGTGCTAGACCAAGCACCTAAGTGGTCAGACCTTCGCTTGCATTAAGATAAGAAAGAACTTCTGCCTCTTTCCTTCTCTCTGTCTAATTTGAGCTTTTTTTTCCCCCCCTCTAGTATTTGCAGCATTGAAGCAACGGCGGGACAAAAAATGTGCCCCAAGCCAATGGAAAACTATGTGGCATCTATGGTGCTGAGTGCACTTGGAGACACGCTGGGCTATTACAATGGGAAATGGGAATTTCTGCAGAGCGGTCCTGACATCCACAAGGAGCTGGCAGAGATGGGGGGGCTCGGCAACTTCAGCATCCAGGGCTGGAAAGTCAGTGATGATACAGTGATGCACCTGGCCACAGCTGAAGCCCTGGTAGCAGCTGGGAAAAATCCAGATTTAGCACATCTCTATTCCTTGCTGGCAAAGAACTACAAGGAGTGCATGAAGGACATGGCTGGCAGAGCTCCAGGTAACCCTTTTCGTGCTGTCTGTGCAGGTCTCTCGCTCAGCCCCGCTTTCTGCACAAGGCTAATGGTCTCTGGCTGTCCTGCAGTCAGGCTCTCCCTGCTTTTCGATGTAAGACTTTGCTTTTGGCTGTCTATACCCTTAATTGGACTTTTGGATGGGCAAGTTTTCCACACTCAGTACTTGCCTCAGATTGGATTAAACAAAACGCACCAGGGCAAGGAACACACTAGGCCCTTTCGAACGAGGACAGAAAAGAAAAGATTTGCCCACACTTACAAGACTTTCTCACAGTTATGCTTGAGGCTTGGCCTTGGACTCAGGGGAAGGCTGAAAATTCAGCCATGTGTATCAAGCACCGTGGAATGCTCTATTAAAGGAACACATTTAAACAGACCATTAACTTGAAATATCTCATAACAGTTGCAATAAATCACATTTAAAATACATTTAAAGGCACAAAGAACCTTTCCAAGAATAATTAAGTTTATTAAATAAAATGAAACAAACAAACAAAAAACCTTAGGTTTGTTTTTTTAGATCTCCAGACATCCATTTCTGCAGCTGAGCAATAAGGACTCAGCTATCTTTTCTGCAGTTTTCTTTTCCATCRTCTCTCCCTTCTTTGCATAAAAACCATGCTGCCAAGTTCAGGTCACAAGTAGTAGGGATTGGAGGTGTGTGTATGATTGAGGAAGGGTTGACAGATATGTTTAATCATATGTTGACAGATTATGTTTAATCTTAACCTGCTGACCCAACTCTTCCCAGAAACTGCCAGCTCTCCCCATACAGCTGGCCCAGTCTCTTGTGGATGCTTGAATCCAAGGAAATAGRAGCTACTGAGGCTGGGCCCTCTTATTTTGCTAGTGCAGGTGATGCCAAGTATCAAAGAAACTCTCAAATTCAGCAATACTATGCAAAATGAAAAAAAAAAAATCTTAAAAAGAAATTACCTAAACATTTGCTTATACTTTGGGTTTGCTTCCAAATTATTATCAGGAATATTCTGGCCTAACATAAAAATTGCTTTCCTGGGAAAGGCCAAATTCTACATAACTCTCTAAGGGCTGCTAATTATAGTGAGGCAAAGATGGACATTTCCACCCAAAGCCTGACTGGAAACATGAGAAGGAATTTATTCTTGTCACAGACACATCCTACCTTGCTATTGCAGGCTGAGGTAGCAGTATTCTTAAACAGATAATCTCTGTTGTCTGAGTGGCTTAATTAATAAAATATTTAAGAAAGGATAATGATAGCTGCCAGGGCAGCAGGTGTCAGCAGGTTAAGCTTTCCAGAGAATCCGTGCTGTCTCGGCATCTTATGGCTCCCATYGTTGAAGAAGTGGTGGTTCCCATCTACCAAAATGGACTAACCACAGCTGGTTGTGAAATTGTGCCTCAAAAAATATTTTTGCCCCTACTCTCAAAGGTTGGTGACTAAAACCTGAGCTGAAAAGGCTAAGTGGAAATTTTAGAAATAGATAAGGATAATAGCACAGCTGCTGCAGTCCTTTTGTGACAACTGCGCTGCAACTGCTCCCAAGCAGTTCTARTTTGTGTTTTAAAGTACATTTGCCATGGCAACTGATCAGAGCGACAAAAAAAAAGAAAAAAAGTGAGGCTAGCAAAGAGGTGCATCTCCTTTAGGGGGGGCTGGGTCAATGGACGCACACTCGGAAAAATTCCAGCTGAGAAAGACAAGTATGTGAAAAGAAATGGAAGTCTGTTGAAAATGGTGTTCTAACAGCATTCTGCAGGGCTGCTACTGAAACCACAGGAAAGGGGTCCCATGGGCTTTAGGCAGCCTCTGAGAGCTTAAATCCTAAGATTTGTCTGCCTGCTAACTTACTACTGAATGGAACTCATCATCCATGAAACAGTGTCCCCAATCTAGAGTCTCCATGTTGTATTGTTAAAGTTTAGCAAGTTGGATAAAGTATGACTGCTAGACCTCATTTTTCAGTAACTTTGCTCTAGTAATCAGAGCAAATACATTTTAACTAAATGTTAACCGGAGAACATAGGTCCAGGTTATGCTCTGACATCCGAAATGAAGATTGACCAGGTAACTGCAGTCTTAAGAGCTGAGAAGGGAAAGTTGCTGCTGCAGCTTTCACCCAACAGGAGAGATTCTCACGAACAGTGGGGGAAAATCATGTTGCTCACCCGCCCGAGGGAGTCTAGGCCCAGAAACAAAACTCACAGTGGCAAAGGGATTCCCACAACATTTTTAGTCAGCAGAAGACCCTGACAGGTTCCATCAAGTCCCAAGAGGAAAGGTTAACTTGTCTCTCTTAAATCAATGGCAAGTTCATCCCTACATGCTTTTTTTKTGTGTGTGTGTGATGTGCCAAAGCCCCACATTCTTCATCCTTTGCTGACAACAGAGCTAGTGAATGAAGTGACACATACATGGCCATACTTCTTTTTATAGTATAACTACATCTATCTTCAGCGCTCTCCAGGAAATAATCTGCTTCAAGACAGTTGCCTGTCACTCCATTTCTTTTGGTCTAAGAAGTCCTGTCTTGGACTGTCTGTGGAATTATTTGTGACTGTGTGATTGTTTTAATTCATCTTTGTGCATCAAGAGATCCTAGTCTTACTGTCTGTGCTCACAAAGAGCCTAAATAAGTTGTATAGAAGCTTATTCCAGAAATAACACGAAGTTACTCTCAAAACTTATTTTCATCTTTGCTTTATTTGCATGTGATTTTGCCTGTATTTCTTCTTTCCTTAGAATAGCACTCCCACACATTACTTAGAGTATTTTTAGTTAGCACAAAAAAATCCTAACCAGGATTTGCTAGGTTACAAAATAGATTTTCCTGCTTCCAAAATTCCTACTGCTGTTTTAAAGAAGACCCAACAGCTGGATTTCAGATTAGTCTTCCTACTCAGCTTGCAAAAGATTTAATATTTTGATGATTTCAAATCAACAACATATCACTTCCTTTGTAAATCAGTAGAGTCTTAACTGCTGTATACTGGGGTGGTTTTGGTGGTTTTCCTTTTTTTTTTTTCTTTTTCATTTGGAGGTTGTCAATGGTAATCTCCCAAAGATTTACATGCAGATTTAAAGCTGTGAGAAAATGTTTGATTATTATTGCAAAATAATGGGTGTTCCTTTACATTTTATGCCATGATATTATCTGGGTTTTCCTTTGATTATAGTTAAATGAAAGAACTATCTCACTGTTTATCGAGGACTGAGTTGCCTAGTTTGAACAAGCCCAAACATGTGCCTAAAAGACATGTGTTTTTTGCAGCCCTATCAAGATTACAAGGTTGTTTTCCTTTTGTTTGTTATGCAGATTTTTATTTTAAGCAATATTAATCCCTTTTCTTCTCTCTCTCCACTTTCCATCATCTTCCTTCGAGAAAGTTAGTTTTAAAATGGATATACAAATAGGGTAGTTGCACTTTTTTTTGAAGCCATGGTTTTGTTTGACAGGATTTTAAAAATATTCTCTTATAGGTCATAAGTACAATAGTGTATTTAGAAATACACAACTCATTTTTTTTTTCTCTGAATCACAGCAAAGCTAGAAATTATACTGATACGACACCTCGCTATTTTGATAAATAACATCCAGCGTTGTGTTAATAAGGTATATAAAAAGCAAATTCAGAGGCCAGGATACATTCCACATTTGGAGAAGCCACAAAAATGACCTCCTGGTTGGTGCTGAGGAAAGGAGACTTGACAAAACATATTCAGTCTTGAAGGGCCTGGAGAATGGCTAGTCATTTTTGTAATGTAAAAAATTGAAGGGAATTTAAGCAAATTGTCAAATGGCTGTTTTAAGACAGAAGGAAATACTTTGCATAACAAAATCATTGCAAGGGCTACCACGGGGCCTAATGTCACCAATTCACAGTGGTTAGGCCCACAGGGATTATTGAATATGACACTGTGGGTCCATCTGACTCCGGAGGTCTCACTTCTCTGACTGCGGGCAGGGGTCRCAGCAGAACTGGTGGGCCTGCATGGTGCTTAACAGCCTTCCCGTAACTGCCTGCTCGTGGCTGGCCTTGGAGACAGGCTAGTGGACTGGACAAACCTTTGGTCTCACCTGGTACAGTTGTTCCTGAGCTTGTTGAAGAGATGTCCAACTGTGGTACAATAAATCCAATTATGTAAAAAAGTGAGGGAAGCACTGAAGTCATTGCTTCCTAACAAACTTAGAACTAAAGCAAGGGAGCTACAGGTTCACCAGCACCGTTTCCTGTCAGTGAGGCAGTGGAAAAGATTCCTGGGCAACTTGTGAGGTCTCCATCTTTAAAGAGCCCTATAAGGAGGTTAAGAGCCTGTCGGGAATAAAGCAGAGACACTTAGTCCTGCTTTGGGTCAGGAGTCAATGTTATCTTATCTCTTGATCTGTGTTTCTTGCTTCCTGTGTCTCTTTCCTGCCCAGGGGTCATATGTAAGAAGAACGCTGTGAAGCTGCAGCCGGAGAGGCCGGGTGGCTGGAGGATCCCATTCAGCACCCAGGAAGGAGGCTGCGGTGCCGCCATGCGCTCCATGTGCATTGGGCTGCGTTTCCCTCACCCTGAGCAGCTGGACACCCTGGTTCAAGTCAGTATCGAGAGCGGCCGAATGACCCACCACCATCCTACCGGCTACCTGGGCTCCCTGGCCTCGGCCCTCTTCACCGCCTTCGCGGTCAACAAGAGACCGCTGGAGGCCTGGGGAAAGGGGCTGCTGGAAGTGCTGCCACGAGCCAAAGCCTACGTCAGGGATGCCGGCTTCTTTGTGGAGGAGAACATGAGGCACTGGTGAGCTGGGCTCTCAGCGCCTGCCACGCTCCCGCTTTTCGCAGGCCCTGCAGCACGGGGCGCTCAGTGCTGCGCGCTCGGAAGCGCACGGAGGCGGCTCTGAGCACAGGTTTCTGTGGTGGCTGCCTTCCAGCGATCCCCAAAAGTGCCCTCAGAGTGCGCTCAGGCACTCAGAGCGCGCTTAGGCACGCTCCAAAGGCCTTTGCAGCACCCAGGGTGATGAAAATAATACGCAATTAAAAAAGAAAGGTATTGTTAAAAACGGAGAGAAACCTCATGTACAAGAGGACAAGCTCTGTTTATGAGTAAGCTGGTATAGTCACATTGTTCTAAACTCTTAGAACAGCACATGCCTGCCACGGGATCACAGCAGTTCAGAAAGCTCTTAAGTCTCTTGGGAGACAAATCCCTCTACCTATAAGAAGGAAACACAGAAGAAAAAAAAAAAGCAGTTGGCTTGCGCCATGTGGCCATGACATTTTTGGATCAAATATGGGGTAGCTAGACTTGCCATCTCAGGCAACCACGATCCGATGAAAGGTGGGAACCAGGCATGGGACCAGCAGTGGGCTGAGGGCTGAGCTTAGTTGGAGAGTTTTAACCAAATCCGGCTGTGTGTTTGGGGTGACTGTACGCACAGCCGGAGGCACTGGTGAATTCAGGAGGATGACTCAGTTCTCGCTCTGAGCCTTCGATCCTCTGCAGCGTGGCGGCCACAGGTGCTGGACTGCCTTCTCCCATGCGGCTGCAGGGGCCCAGTCTAGCAGTCCGAGACGGGCTCCTTACTGTAAATCATGGCCTCGGCCTCACAAAGGGGATGTGCCTGCCTGCCATTTTGTTGAGTTGCTGCTCCAAGCTGTCTTTCTGTGGGGTGCCTTTTTAGCTGGTGCCTGTGGCACCAGAGTGCAGAAGCGGTGTCTCTTGCAGCACTGGGACTGTTTGTCTACATGCCTCCCTTTCCTTCCCTTTTGCAGGCACTACTTTGAAGAGCAGTGGATCAAATACCTGCAGGAGCGGGGCATAGCAGATGGCGTCTCACCGCCCGCCTTCCCCTCAAAGTACGGCGTGGCCGAAAGAGATTCCTTCTACACCTCGCTGAGCTACTCGGGCTGGGGGGGCAGCAGCGGGCACGACGCGCCCATGATCGCCTACGATGCGCTGCTGGGCGCCGGCGCCTCCTGGGCCGAGCTGGCGCACCGCGCCTTCTTCCACGGCGGCGACAGCGACTCCACGGCCGCCATCGCGGCCGGCTGCTGGGGGGCCATGCACGGCCTCCGGGGGGTCCCGGCCACTCTCTTCCAAGAGCTGGAGTTCAGGGAGCGCCTGGAGGCGGCGGGCAGGGACCTGTACGCGCTTTGCTCTGGCTAGTCGCCCCCAGGCTGCCCGTGCCTCTGCATGCCTGCTCTGTCAACGCACGGGATGGTCACAGGGYGGAGGCTGGCACTTCCTCTGCGTGTCACCTCCAGCACAGCAGCCGTTTGATGCGGAGCAGCTTGGGATTTGATGGGGAGCATGGAAATGACAGCGTGGCACTGCCGGGCCCTCATGGGGCCCCCAAACAGTTGGAGCGTGCGAACGTGCCACCTCCTCCTGCACATGGACAGCGGGGGCTCCCCTCTCACCACAGCTGCCCTGCTGTCAAGGATCCCACTCACCTTCCAGCGCTGCGGCCGCAGAGACAGAGCTCTGGCTCCCTTGCTCGGGGCGCATCTGCTCTGAGCTTCAGCAGAGGCAAYAGCCGGTCTGTCGGGTGTCACATTTTCCCATACAATTTATTTAGAAAAAGGTRTTTTTTGCTTTCAATGAGTGCCATAAATTTAACCTTGTAGCTTCACCAGTGTGTTCTGCAGAATTCCACAGCGCTTTTGCTATTTAAAGTATGTGTCATGATACTTTCCTATCTCAGTTAAGGGGAAGTTCCAGACTGCCACCAACCCTTATGCTGCTAATGAGCAAATGTAGGGGTTGCGTTTTACATAAGGTTAGGCAACTCCTGTGATAAAATATATTCTTAAGTCCAGACTACTAATGATTATTTGGTTGCCATTTGCCATGGATTATGCAGCTCATTTTGTGACAAATCTTTTTCTTCAGATCTTGAATATTACGCRGCTAAATGCTTATTCTTCCAGGTGCAATTTCAAACTGAGGATATCCTGTCCAATAAATGGATATGCCATATCTCTGTTAAAGGCTATATTCTGTTACAAGATGAACTGAGGGATGGATGAGGCCGTATGCATGGAGGGCCAGAGGAAGCAAAGGTGTCTACAAGGTTCAGCTTGGAAGAGAGAGAGGAGGTAGAAGTGCTGCTTGGGAGGGCGGAGAATTGACACACAGGCATTTTTTGCAGGAGGGAGAGGGAGCAGCTGCCTAAAAGTGAGGGTTGGCTCAGGAGTTCAGCACATCTTTAGGTAAGGGCTATGCATAAAGGCCTAAGGAAAGGCAAATCAGACAAAAAAACAGCAGCAATATGAATCACAATTTCAACACAGTTTACTACAGCTCTCAGGTGTGTTGTATAAAACATGTTTTAGTGCAACATAGTACAAAGTTTGTCTTTTTTAAAAAAAAATCCCAAACATTTTTCCACATCATGCATGGACAGGGTTTCTGTCTTTCATCTTGGGTTCGGTACAGAAAGTTACAGCGGAGAGAGTGGTTTGAAAAGCTCTGTGTTAAAACTCGTTATAGGAAGTTTGCCTTATAAAAACAGAGAGAAGTTCGAGGCCGGGCGCCGCAGCAACGTCCCTGGCAGGGGGTTCTGCAGCCRTCGCGGTGGCCGCTCCCCGGGAGGCCGCGCGCGGTGCAAGAAGGCACCGGCGGCCGCGGCGCCGTGGGGCTCCCTGGGAAAGGTCCCACGGCCAGCCCTGCTCCGGGGACGCGGCGCCAGGGCAGCAGCCTGCGGCAGCTGCAGCGCGGCGCTCTCCCAGGAACCTACAGCTCCTGGTGAAGTGTCTCTTCTCCCCTCTCTTGGAAGCGGGAATGAATGGCAGTTCATCCCCTGAAGCGGTCCGTACAGGAGATACTGCGTTTAGGAAACAATACCCACTGGCTGCAGCTGCTGTTCTTTTTGCCTTGGTTCTTCATTTCCATTCACTTACCCTTTCATTCTGCTCTTCGCAGACTCCTTATCCAGAAAGGGAAGACAAGTGTGTGGGTGTGTGGTATATATAGCAGTGTGATACCACATATACGCTGGGGCCAGTAAGCAATTACCTCTTGAGGAGGGAGTCTTCACAGAAGGATGGGTGAAACGGAGCTTTCTCAGCAGCAGAAGGAATAAACGCCGTTCTYGAGGAGGAGCAGAGGTGCCTTAATAGGAATGTCTGATGGACTCACCTGCCACTGGGAACGGGTCTGTCCGCGTGCGTGTAGGGATATGCAGGCTCCTCTCTGGCCAGGAGAGAGGATGTTCAGGTTTCCACCCAAGGCTTCACCACCTCTGAAACATCAAGGCATCAGGCATTAACCTACTAGTGCTACAGAGCATCTGCTGAGGTCCTCTTCACAAAGAGCTGTCCTACGGCCCCGATGGGGACGGAGGTTGTAGGTATGGCACCACTCTCACACAGGCAGGCGGGCTCTTGTGGTTTTGCCCATCTGCCYCTCTTGGCTTCAGCCATGCTGCAAAAAATAAATGGCCAGGTTTGCCAGGAAGACATCAAGGAAGACAACAAAAGGCCATTTTTGGCAAACATTTTCTTCCGCCAGACATAACGCCTAGGGTGCATTGGGGAGGAGGCGGGTTCCTCCACAGGACACGGCAGGAGTACTTGGCATGACTGGCTACTAGAGCGTAGGTGCCCCATGCTGAGAGAGCCCTGGCTTGGTTCRCAAAGAGCCATATCTTTCACAGAAAGAACAGCATTTTCTGTCACGCAGTTGTGTAGGACAAAGAGCAGGCGGCGTTGCCAGGAGGGGGAGCTTATGGCCAAGCTGTTTCTCCTCCTGAAGCCCCAGGACTGGAAAATGGCACATGCACGCACACACAGGGGAAGATTCCTTTGAGCCCAAGGGGACACAGAAGCCTCCAAGGAGCAGATGTGATGCTGACTCCTTCACCAGCTCAAGTTCAGGCAGGGAGGCCTTGCAAGCCCCTGTGAAACTTGGGGACAACCGATGGCTGACTGCACATCCCTGCTGCATGGCACGACTGTGACCCGGCTCCTTTGCTAGGCCRTGCAGGGATGTGACTCTGCACTCGTGGAGCTTTCCCTTTCCCCCTCTCTAGAGTCATTGCTTTGGTCAAGTAAAAAATTTTATAGACTGGATCCAGCCATCCATCCCCACACGACTAGGGCATGTAGGTAACCCCCCTCTTCAGAGGTGGCAGCACAGAGGCTAGCGAGGAGTGTCTCTCTTGATAAGCCAGAGCCTGCCAGGAGCCTCTCTGCTACCAGGACTTTGAGGCATCCCCCTTCCACCTCTCCCTTCAGTTTGGGGAGGCAAACTTGCTTTTGTCTTTCTGCAGGCGTGTTGAGTTTTCAGTCTGCCCAAGACCAGGGAACACTCCTAATGGTGAATTTCTTCCTCTTGAGAGAACAGTAAAGTGGAGGCAAGAAGAAGCTGAAGCCACGTCCAGTCTTTGAGCTAGACCTCCCAACACCCCAGCTAGCCTCAGGATGTCATCCTGGCTTTGCTGGTTTGGGAAAAGATCTTGTTGATGTGGCACAGAGTCTGAGGAAGAAGCATGAAGTCTGTTTTCGAAAATACACATTTACTCCACAGAGATTGTCCCAGGATCAAAAGTGCACTGGGAACCCCTCTCTTGTGGGAGAAGAGGAAGTCTAAAGTTCTTTGGGTGATTGAAAATAAAAACAGTGGGAAAAAAATCATGGCTGAAAGGACAACTGATGGGAGCAAAATTAATATGTGAAGATTATCTGCTATGTACAGCAAGGACACAGACCCTTTGTCCGTCCTTGTGACTGGTTGTGTTTCCAGAGATGTCTGAAGAAGCCTCCAACTTCCCAGGCCCATCAACTGGGTGCTCTGCAGATCCCAGTCACCGCACTGGAGCACAGACACTGAAACAAATGAAACAAGAACAACCAAAACCACCCCGTTCCTTAGGGTTCCCGGTCTGTCTCTGTTTCTCTCTCTCCCTCTCTGTGCATCCACTTGGGCTCCTTGGCCTTTTAGTCTATAGTTCCTGGGTGGATGCTGAGGACTGGTGGCTCTAGGCAGGTAGGAGAGTAGTTGAGGTGAGGCTCCTTGATCCACAGCAAGGGGACCCCATTCTTGCCCTCTGAGTTTTTGCTGGAGTTCCGACTCTTGAACCGCACCAGGAGGATGGTGATGATCAAGATGCCAAAGATGGGAAAGGGGTAGAAGAATACAAAGTAGAAGAGGGCATCGTTGGAGCAGATGACTGACTGAAGGGTAGAGCCTGAAAAGCAGAGACAAAAGACAAACACATTTTATAGCTTTTCTGCAATGCATAACTCAGAAATTTTCTTAAAAAGTGAAAAAAAAATGACAGAACATTTCAAAGTGTAGCAGTAAAATAAAGCTGTTGTAGGAATAGCTTTATCCTCCCCTTAAGTTTTATGAGTGCTACGACGGAGTCCTCTCTGGCATGGATATTCTGGTGTCTAATCAACTACAGAACCTCATCCAGTGGCTTTCCCTCAATGGAAACACTCACAGGCAACCTCTCAGGGTTTGTCCTTGAGTGTCTACAAAGCTCTCAGGACCTTAGTTATCACTGAGGACTCTACCTCTTGGTTGAATGTATCTAAAATCATCTGATGGCCCCAAGAATTACTGAGAGGAGACCCTTGCATAGTAGCACAGGGATCACACAAGATCTCACTTCCTTAGGACAACAAGGCTAGTTCTGCAGGGCTAATTCTTCAGCACCAAGATGCACAGCACAGTGACTCTACATGCCAAGGCTGGACTGACGGCACCGTGCACAGGGCTGCAGTGGTAGCAGCTCCCTTAGAGACAGAGTTCACCCTCCACTCTGCCCTGGAGGCAGGCTCCAGTAAGCTGGCAGTGCCCAGGGAGCAGGAGAGCATCTGCCAATCCAGTGAGGTGCCATGGTACCGCAGCCTCTGAGGGCAAGGAAAAGGCAGAACTGGCTTTATGGGCATCATCAGCCCAGCCTCACCCTGACCCCCTGCCCAGCCTGCTAACATGTAAACCTGGGCTCACATGCAGAGCTAGGCCAAGTTCCAGACTGCTTCCCACAGTGAAAGGTTACACGTGAGCACAGTACAGAGCCTCTGCTAGTAAGTGCAGTGCACGTGTTGTMAGCCTGAGCAAGAAGTGGCCTAAGAGCTAGCAAGCTGATGGAATAAACATGAGCCTCTGATCTGATCCAGTGCAAACCAGATCCAGGCTCTGTATCCCATTCACTCTTTGGTCCATCCACCTTGGCTGCCAAGAGGACAAGAAAGCCAGTGCTTATCCTCACAATTTAGCGTGGTGAACRCTCAAAACTCAACCTGGGAAGGGAATGACTGGAGCACCACCCAGCAGGGCTGCCTCTGAACATGTGCTGAAGCCACRGGCTCTAGGGCTGTGCAGGGAACGGGTAGGAAGGCATCACAAATGCCCACACGAACAGATGACATGTGGGCCATTCCCCCCGGAGGATGCCAKCCCTTCTCACCTGTGTCCTGCACGTGAACAGCGACTGCGCCCGACTCCTCCTCGGCCAGCCGGTACCACACGCCGTTGGGGTCCGCCAGCCACTCCTCCACGCGGCACGAGTAGTTGCCGCTGTCGGMGACTCCAGCCTGCAGCACCGTCAGGCGGAAGAGCAGCGCGGAGAGCCTCTGGAAGCGCAGCCGGCCCTCCCAGGGGCTGCCCTCCTGGCTGAACACGGCGTCCGGGCCCACGCTCAGCACAGCCTCCCTCTCCTCCTCCTCCTCCGAGGGGCCGCCTCCCTCCTTGGGCCGCAGGTTGTACCAGGCCACTGCAAAGTGGGACTCCTGGCTGGAGCGGGACAGGATGCTGCAGTCCAGCGGGAAGGACTCCTTCTCCTGCACCGTCAGGTTGGAGGTGGCGGTGTCCACCTGCAAGGTGGGGTCTGAGACAGTAAAAGGAGAGAGGTGAGTGCAGAGCTGAACGCTACGTGCCATGCTGTCCTTCCTGAGTGCACATGTCCAGTGCTGAGTGTGATGTGAGCAGTGCACAACCTGCCTGCCAGCTCCCACAGGTTCCGCTGTGGTCAGCCCCGCAGCGCCAGCGTCCCCACCGTGCCATGCTCCATCCGGCTCCGAGTCAGAACGGGAGCCGGTGGCTAGCGCCTCGTCACCCTGCCCACGCAGCCTCTCGCCACAGCCTCCCAGCAGGCAGCCGGCGAGCGCCCCTGGGCGTGGGGGCGAAAAGCGAAAGTCGCTGAAATTCATCCCCAGAAAGAAACAGCTCAGGACACACGAACGCTCGGTCTGTGCTCAGAGCAGCAATATACAGCTCCCTAGCCATCAGAGCAAACATTTCATTCCCTGCTTTTTTTTTATTCCTATCCTGTACGAGAGTGACCACTCTTGTAGTCACAAGAGAGACCGCAAGAGTGGTCTTCAAAGCCAGGACATCTCAGTCAGAAGAAGGCATAATGTTTTTCACAACAGTTTGTGAAGTCCACCAGGTAACCAGCTCCTCTATGGAGAGGCCCTCAGCACCCAGGCAGCAAGGACACCAAATGCCTCTCTTTTTTTCTCTATTACTTGCTGCAMGGCTAAAGAGATGCTTTAACCCAACTGAGATACAGTGACTGGAATCTAAGATGAGTTGATTAAAGGCTGATTTCAAGAGCAATTAACATTTGATTTAGTCATATTGCCAGGGAACATGTACTCTGGAGATCACAAACAGCCCAGATCTAAGCTCTCATTTAAAGATTAAAAAGCCCTTTCTAATGCAGGAATTAAGCATGAAGGGCAAGCCCACAGCTCACCAAAGAAAGAGGCCCTTTCTCCTGCAGCAAAGGTACCTGGGCATCCCTCCAGCACTGGSAGCAGCGGCCCGGCCCCTCCGCTCTCATTCCCATACATCGCTGAGGGCTCTCAGTTCTTCCACATCCGTCCTGCCTGCGGCAGGCACTGGGAAGACTGCAGCCACCAGCTCCCGGGGCCACGTCACACTCCCTTCCAGACCAGGCAGCACTTGAAGGCTCTAGGGAGCATGTGAGGGACAGTGGAAAGGCCAGGCTGGACTGGGACTTGGGGGAGGTCAACTGAGTGGGGTGAAGAGGGGCAGCTCCCATGGGCTCCCAGAGAGGGAGGGAGGCAGGGAGGAGGCAGGGAGGAGGCAGGATCTTCTCCAGGACTCCCCTTCCCTAGGGCCTCTCTTGCAGGGCTCTGTTTATCCCAAAGCCTCCCTTGAGGCTGGTGCACGCAGCCAATTTCCTCAGTGGTGCAGGGTGTTGGGAAGAGTGTGTTTTGGAGCCCCTTTCCAAAGGGCTGCAAWGGGAACCTGCAAGGAGGAGGATGCTTGTCATCACCATGGCAGTCTTCCTATCTTTTTAAATGATACAATATAGAAAACTTCCATTAGAGCTTTTAAGGCTGCAGACAACATCAGTTCTTCCAGCTTCTCTTCAAGAGACTCCTGAACAGAAACAGCAATGAGGTAAGCCTTGAAATTTCTGGGACTTCTGAGGTGAAAAGGAGGAAAGGAAGGAAATGCCTTGTCAGAACAAACAAAAAGCCTTCCCCACCTCCGCAAATTGAGCACAGAGAGGAGAACTGCAGGCTGAAGCTGTTGAATGGGGTTTTTTTTTAACTTTGTTTATGATTATTGTACTGAAAGATGAATGGAGATCCTCACTAATAAGATATGAGTCACAAACAATGCTATTTTTAAGTTTAGTAATTTTTCAGTTATTGTCTGCCATGAAAGAAAAACAAGCAATACATAGTCTTAAACCTTATACTTCTGCACTCCCAATTCCCTCCTTTTCCCACTCCACATCCGAGTTCCACATTTGAGTTCCACAACTCAAAATGAACCAAAGGAATTTCCCCTGACATTCATCACTTGTCCATCAGGGCTGGCAATTTTCAGCCTGAAGAATTGCACTTATAAACTCTGTAGGCAGAAAGCTACTCAGTTACTGCCTGGAGACCTGCCTGGGATGCTTCTGCTCAAGCCATCTCTGACTAAAGCCAGAGAAGATTTCTGAGCTTGTGGCTAAGAAGAGCTGTGTCGTCCCYTGGAAGAGCTTCTTCACAGCACAAATCTTCCCTACAAGATTAACCTCTAAAATCTTTCCAAAATCTTAAAACTTTACAAGGTTGATACCTCATTGACGTAGGTAGGTATAAGGCACCAAAAATAGAGTTTTAGTGTATTTCTCTTAAATGCTGGAAGATACCCAGTGAGTTTAAGTCAGTCATAACTTCCGAACTTCAGCCTTCCTTCAAGATGGGCATTTCATCTTGGGTCACATGCCTCAAAAACTGGAGAATCTGTATATTCCAAGATAAASTGCCCTTGCAATTTGCCATCTGAGCTGTTAAAAGAGCTGAAACTAGAATTTTCTTCCTGGTTTTAATTTATCTGGCAATTTTTCCTCTATTAGATCTTATAAAGGCTGCAGCAATCCCTGATCCTTATCTTGTTGTGCACAGAAAATGTCAAAATGTGAGCATGGTTCGGGTGTTGTTACATAGCAGGACTTGGATGAACTGCTATGATGGATGAGATGGAGGGATGAGACAGTGGCCACAAGCTTTGCTGGAAGATGCAAGAAGTCCCCAGTACCCATTTGTCTGCACAGAGGTCCGTTTTTCTAAGCAACTTTCATTCTACTGAGAAACTTAAGCCCTTGTTCCAACCCTCAAGTCTACACACCTGGATCTACATCTCATGTCTGCTCTTCACTCAGTTGCTGAGCAGCAGCACCTTGTGAAACTGCCTGGACAACCACAAGGTCTCAACACTCCCTCATACCTTCTGGTACCTTCTTTCCATGCAAGGACCCTGCCCCTTGAGTACACACACCTGGGAGGCCGTTAGCCCCAAGACAGCTTTTTCCATCTCATTCTCAAACATGAAGTGAATGCAAACTGAAGCTTATTCTATTGAATCAAGCGTGACAACAGTACTGTACAAAAAAGAAAATTCACAGACCCCTGGTGCTAAAATCCCACATACAATTAGCTGTATTTTCAGGTCCTGAAAGCTCCTTCCRGAGGAGTGAAGGGGCAATGAAGACACCCAGCTACGTGAGAGCACAGCCTCTAAGCAGTCGTACTCTTGCCCTCTGCCTTGGCCCGCTGGTGACCATAGGAAGGAAGGTGAAGCACGAGGYTGATCAAAGAGAGCAGAGAGTTTCTAAAAGCTGGTGGTGCCAGACCCAAGTCTTGCCGTTACCTGGCTGCTTCACGGTGAGGGTGATGATGCCAGAGAGGTCCTCTGCCCGCTTGTACCAGCGGTCGCTGGGGTCCAGCAGCCACTCCTCCACGCGGCAGTCGTAGGCGCCGCTGTCCCGCACGGTAGCGTTCTGGATGGTGAGGAGGTAGAGGCCTGGGGATGGGCTCTCCAGGTGCAGCCGGTTCCTTAGGTCGCCCAAGGACGCCACCTCCCCGTAGCGCAGGAGGCTCTGCCGGCTCAGCTGGGCCACGGGCTCCTTCTCCGGGTGTCCCGGCCGCCAGACGTACCACTCCACGGAGAGCTGGGACGAGGGGCTGCTCCGGCTGCTGACCAGGCATTCCAGCGTCACCCACTGGTTCTCCAGGATGGTCATGTTCTTGTGGGTTTGATTCACCTGCAGGCGATTATCTAAGGAAAGAGGCAAATAAAAATATGTGGCTGGAGGCTCCCAAGTGCCCTTTGCCTCCCCGCAAGCCCAAGATGGGTTTACAGTTTACAAGCTCTTCTGAAAATCTCAGACTAGTCATCAGCAAAGTCCCTTTCTGCACAGGAAACCAGGAACACTGCGATCTGCTAGTAASACCTGGGAGGTCCTAAAAACACAGAAACCTTGAGAAACAAGGTCACATCTCTATCTTTTCTCCTTTGGGGGCTAGACACTAGTCCAATTCCACTCAAAGCAGCAAGCACTGGGTAAAAGCAGGAGAAAACGCTGAGAATGGACAACTAATGAGAGGAATCACCACTACAAAAGGGAAGTGGTACAAGGGTCAAGGGCAAAGTCACATGCAATGCATCACTGCACTGAAAATGTCCCTGGTTTTTGCTCCACAATGTCACTGATACACTGGGGGTGACTGCAATCAGCTGTTTTATGTGAAATGATGYGTCATACACTCCTAACTCCTTCACAATTTCTTTTGAGAGGCATAGTTTCAACTTCCCTGGTATGACCTCTGTGTACACCCCATGTACTGGCTGGTGATTGCATTCAACATCCTTGCTGGACACAAAGCATATGCAGCTTATAGCCATAACCAGCCAAGCCCAGATAGAGAGTATTTCAGCCCTCCTATCCAGGTAATCCCTTCTACCTGATGGATTTTTATTCTCCAGAAAAAGGGAACCAAGAGCAAGATGGAACAAGTCAGGTTTCCTTGTGAGGTCGTGCTGCTCTACCAAATAAGCTCATATTGGATCCAGGCAGCTCTCAAACACGGTGTCTGCCTCCCTATCTCTTGAGATGAAGTAAGGCTCTGTCTTCAGATTATTAAGGCCATCTTTAGCTCTTTCACCAACTCATCTTTACTGATGATGTCCTCTGCCATGGAAACTGCCACCAGAACATGTTTCTTTTTTCCTAGTAGCCTGCTCCCCACTTCATTAAATTCCTTGTGCACATCTCCTATATACAGTGCAAAGGGAAAAGAGACACTATTCACCGTGCCAGCCAGGATGCAGAAAGAGAGTAAAATTAAACTGCGTGCAAAAAAAAATAAAAGCACTTTCCCAGGCAGGCACATACCAGTTCTCTTTCATTAGGTTGCTGCTCAACTCCCTTGCTACGTGATGCTCTTGAGGATAAAAAAAAACAAAAACAAAAACAAAAACAAACAAACAAAAAAACGGTGGGTAGATAAACTAGTCCTCCAGGTAGTGGGGAACCAACACGTGTTATGTGGGAACACACAAACCCACATCACCCCAGCCTAAATGGAGAAGGGGGAAAAGAGCCCAGAAGCAGTGAGGGAGCACGTGGGTGAYGGCACGGGCATGTGGCATGGTCTCCTGCTTGGAGAGGAGGCTGCAGTGGAAGGAAGAACAAAGGGTCCTTGCTGCTCCCGTGAGGCCCGTGATGAGAGGGGCCGGGCTTTGCCCCGGCGCCCCCAGCAGCGCGGCGCACGCTACCTGGCTGCTTGACCGTGACCTCGGTGCGGCCGGACACCTCCTCCGCCAGCTTGTACCAGGCRTGGTTGGGGCTGAGCAGCCACTCCTCCACGTGGCAGTAGTAGCTGCCGCTGTCRCGGACCTCGGCCCGCTGCACCGTGAGGCTGAAGAGCCCCCCGGACGCTGCCCGCTCGAACTGCAGCCGGCCCCGCAGCCCCTCTTCTTCGGCGTACGTGCCGTACTCGAAGGCCGAGCTGTGCGTGGTCTTCAGGATGAGCTTGCCGTCAGCGTCGGAGGGCTTGTGGACGTACCACAGCACGGCAAAGTGCGAGTCGGGGCTGGTCTGGGATTTCACTGAGCAGTTGAGGGGGATGGGCCTGTTCTCCACCAGAGTGATGCTCCTCTTGGACTTGCTCACCTGCAGCTTGGTCACTGGTGGGGGGACAGAGAAACATGAGAAGAGGGGAGTCATTAGCAGAGAAATAAACTGTTTCAGAGAGGAACACAGGGAGTCCTTCCCCACCTGCAGTCATGAGTGCCTAGTCCGGATCTMATGTCCAACAGATATTCAGGACATGGGTAATCAGATGTTCTACCATATCTTCTCTCCCTTTTTTTTCATCTCCCTTCCAYTCCTGGATCTTCCCACCAGCTCTTTCAGCAAGAAACCTACTTCTTTAATACAGTCCCCTTCTTAACGCACCATGATTTAAGGTATCCATATAGCAAGAAGGTTATGTCCAAAAGCAGTTTTCCAGTCTCTTCAGATGCAGCAACCCTCTAGGGACACTTTTTTTTTTTTTTTTTTCCCCCATGGTGAAACCACACCATGTACAGCTTAGGCCAATGAGCTTTTGACCCAAACCACAGAAACCCATCTCCAGGAGGAATGACAAATCTTTTGTCATACCCCAGCCATCTCAGTGACTTCTAACCTCCAGGCACACAATTGTGAGGACAGCAAATAGGTGCAAAACTGAGGAAAATAATCAYTCTGGAAAGGAGCAGCAGGGAACCTGCTCTGCTCTGCATTTTGCACTCAGGTCCAGCCATCAGGAGCTCTATCTCTGTGTCTGCCACAGACTCCCCACATGACCTTGGACAAGTCACAGGCACGTCATCTCTCAGTTTCTCAGTGTTAATGTTGATCTCACACTGGAAGCTTTGTGGTCAGACAGTGCACAGGAAACAGCATGGTGCCATTAATTCTTGTCCATGCAGGGAGTCAGAGTAAACTAGTTTTACATTTCTCTCTCCCAGCAGGAACAGGAAATGAAGCCTTTCCCAGCCTCTGTTCAGCCCGTGTCTATTGTGGTGAACCTTGATCCAAGGCATTCACATTTGCACATGGAGGATACAAAGCGCCCTCATGTGACGCTTTTATTTGATACGTCCTGGAGTCTTGTGAGCTAAACGTATGAGTAGAGCTAGTTCTAACCAGACACATCTAGTTGCCCGAGTGGCATCTTCCCTCCTTCAAGTCTCTTAGCACAATGGGGACCAGCTCTCACCTTGAACACAAGAATGCAGGAATCTGCAGTCCGACAGCTAGAAGGGAYGAGGCTGCTGTTTGAGCATTAAGGACATTACTGCACCTGTACATGTCTGACCATGCACAGAAACAGGTCAGACCAAGAGCACTCAGGATTTCCAGGAAACAGGGACAACATGTCACAGCATCAGGCAGGCAGCGGCTCAGTCAGGACTAAGCAGCTCCTGGCACAGCTGCAATGGAAAGCGCCATTGTTCAGGCATCACCTACAAAGGGCCGTCCCAGCAAAGAGGGGATTTTCAATGGCCAAGAGACAGACCGTGTGCCACAGTCCCACCCAGTGCACCCTAGCTCTTTCCAAATGTTACCTCCTCCTGCTGATGGTCAGGCAATGAGCACCTAGAACTGCCATTCCCCTCTAAAAGAGGGCCTGCCTTGCTGCCAAGTGAAGGGGTTTTCTTGACAATTTATACCGGCCTCAGTAAAACCTACTAAGCTCTCCTGTCAGGAGTAGCTCAGCAGAACCGTGAGGCTAAAGGTACCCAAGGCTGCAGCCTGCTGGGGAGCTGTGCAGAGCTGCACCCCAAGAACCCAGCCCGTGGCTCCTGTGCCTACAAGGAAGCAGTAACGTTTTCTCTTTTCTCTCAGCAAGGCAAAGGCTCCTCCTTTGCATGATGTTTTATTTCCAGCTTCCTCTGGCCTCTAGGGTCTCAGATGCCTGTCGGCACAAGTGATGAGCAGAGGGGCTGAGGGAGAGAATGGGTACAGGCAAACAACATCACATGAAGGGGGGAAACTCCCCTGACAGCGACACTTTCTGCTCTAACACAGCATCTGAGATAGGCACCCTGGTAACACACCAGCAGTTCCCCTGGAGCCTGGCTCGCCCGTGGCTTTCATCAGTATGCTAATACAGACTAGTTGCGGCATGGCACGCACGCAGCGCACACACGGAGGGAGGGGAAGCGGCCCCTTGTTCTTCCTCTCTCGGGACCTCAACTTAATGGAGAGATTTAGCAATGTGCCCTTGTGCGTGTGCTRCGTCCCCACCCGCTCCTTCCCCTTTGTTGCACTGGAGGAGAGCGGCCTCGGCCGCCACCCTCCGCCCACCCCACCTCTGTGGGTCACCCTTGCTTAAGCAAGGTTGTTCCAAGCAAGCATTAATCAATCTTCTGAGCGCCCGGCAGAGGAGCCAATAAAGGGGAAGGTGATTCCCAGCAGCTCCCTTTCTCCCCCAGCCCCCTTTCCAAACAGTTTATTTTTAATTGGCACTGGATTATTTTCTGCAACCGTTACTACGGAAACCTCTGTTACTATAGCAACTGTGTATGTTAAGTCAGTAGCCTATATCTATTAAAATGCAGTATATACACACGCTGAGTGTGTGGCAGGGTTGCTTGGTATCAATACACACAAACAYACACACACATGGGTCATGCAGAGATGGGAGCTGCCAAAAAATTCACGAGCCCTCCCCACATTCTTCCCACACCGCCGCGTCTCCGGGCGATGGAAATGAGGGGGATAGGGATATTTTTAGGTGCTCTGTTCTGGGCAACAGACCTGCATCTCGTACGTGGTGGATTTATTTCACTGAAGCAGTGGGGGTACCTCCTGAGACTGTAAGCACAGCAATTACCAGTGCGTACGCACACGACACTGCTCATGTTTCAGGCACTCACACCAGCCTACGTGCAGTTCTCCTGCTTCCATTCAACAGTCAGGAAGATGCCTTTTGGTGGGGGGCAGGTAAGGCTGAGGGGGAGAAATCCTTCTTGCTCTGGCATAAATGAGATCTTCAATTCCATACAGGCACCCTCTGAAAGCTCTCTCGGCAGCTCCTGCAAACAGCATTCTGGAATTTGTACGACCACAGCATCCCAGTACCCAGAGACACCCGAAGGCTGAGGAGGGGATCTCTTCCGCTACTGCTACCAGGCAGAGCAGCAGGCCTTGACAGAGAATGACAGCTCTGCCTTTGCTCGGCTGCACGAACTTGCTCAGATGTGTAACAAGTTTTGTCTAGATTAGCAGTACTGGTTACACATAATGACGCTCCTGCCAATGGACTTCTCATCTAACATGACTTACTATCCTAATGGAGGCACTCTGTGGAAGGCCCAGCGTGGGATTTGCTTCCCTCCATTGGACTTGCATGGGACGTTCTCAGTCTTTTCCAACCTGTGAACACTAAACTCTTTCCCATGCAGGTGCTCAGTGTTGCACAGTAACTGCACCTAAAAATGCCAGCTTGGTTTTTCTTAGTCATCTTTAGTAGATCCTTTTGGAACAGTGCAGAGCTTTTGTAGACCACAAGCTAAAACCACTGGCTTGGAAACAGGCACACAGGTCACCTGGAGCCACTTCAGCTGCGAGCTAAAAGGCTGATGTGATTTCTAATGCAGGAGAGAGATCCCCTGCCCACTGTTTGGGTAAGAGACAGGAAGCTTTGTGGGGATCCGCTGCACTTCTGCTATCCCACAGGAGTAAAGGAGGTGGGATTATCAGCCACCATTCACAGATACGCGAAATAACCTGAAAGGCTCATGTGGACCTCAGAATCACAGAATGGTTGAGGTTGGAAGGAACCTCTAGAGATCATCTAGTCCAAACCTCCTGCTCCAGAAGGGACACCCACAGCACGGGGCACAGGGTGGCATCCAGGTAGGTTTGGAAGACCTCCAGAGAAAGAGACTCCACAGCCTCCCTGGGCAGCCCGTGCCAGGGCTCTGGCACCCTCACAGTGAAGAAGTTCTTCCGCACCTGGAGATGGAACTTCCTGAGTTTCACCTTGTACCCATCACYCCTTGTCCTATCACTTGACCACCATGGAGAAGAGTTTGGCCCCAAACTCCCTACATTTTCCCCTAAGGTACTTATACATATTGATCAGATCTCCTCTCAGTTTTCTCCAGGCCAAACATGCCCAGCTCGCTTAGTCTTTCCTCATTAGATAGATGCTCCAGTCCCTTAATCACCTTCATTGCTCTGTGCTGGACCCTCTCTAGAAGCTCCACATCCTTCTTGTACTGAGGAGTCCAGAACTGCACCCAACACTCCAGGTGTGGCCTCACAATGTGACAAAAAACAACAGCAAATTCTGAAGTTAGTGGGCCAGCATGGTGGAAATGATACAACACAGCACCAGGGAGACCATTTGTTTTCATTCCTGGTGGTACGACTGCTTTAGCATAAAGCTGGGTCTCGTGTGCAGCTTGCGAGGCCTGTTTTGGAGATGCCCACACAACACAGAGATGATTGTAGCTGCTAGTGCGTGACTAGGACTGCATGAAGACTGACCCCGCAGGCACTGAGCCAGCCGAGCCTTGACAGCCGACTCGACACGGGAGGCAACTCCCCTTCCCGGCTGGGGGACGCGCTGGGCCAGGAAGCCGAGCAGGGGCTCACAGGGCACCCAGGGGCCGGGGCTGTGGGGCGGCTGAGGCTGTGGGGTGGCCGGGGCTGTGGGGCGGCCGGGCGGGGCCGCTGCGACGCCCTCTAAAGCAGCGGCGCCCACAGTCGCAGCGGCGGCAGCGACACGGGGTTCCCTGCTCCGCTGCCGAGGGGCGGCCGCTCTCCCCGCGCGCTCCCGCGCGCCTGCTGGGCGAGGGAAGCAGCCGCGTGTCTAGGTGAGGTGACGGYGCACGCGACCTGCGAGGCGCTGGCACCGTGTCGCGCGGCTCCCCAGGCGTGTTGGCGCCGAYCCCGCGGGGCTGTAACGGGCTCCAGGCACACTGCTAAGGCTCTCAGTTTACACGGGCAGCAAGGGATGGTTACAGCCCTCATGTAATTTTAAACCAGCCTAGTTTCCTAGCCCCAGTCATGCAGGACGTACGGAGGGTACGGGCACACGCCGAATTCTGCAGTTGTGTTTGGGCAGGGACTGGGACAGGGAACACCAGCTCTCTGACAGCATGGAGAATAACCCTCCAGCACCAAT